TCTACAGCCAGCATTCGCGAAGTAATTTATAGTATTCCTTATAGTAAGTGTTACGCCAAACTATCCTGTACAACCATATACGAAGCGTTATTAACACTGATTTTGTCAATTAATGAATATTTAAACATAATTTGTAGTGGTAGTATATTGATACATATAATGCCACTGGCATGAAAGAGATAATTAAAAAACGGTTTACAAAGAAATTATAATTACCTAATTTTAAGAGACAATCCCTTTTTTCAAAAACATGTCGAGGTGGCGTTGTCCATGCTATTCGGGCATAAAATAATATATTAAACCCCAAAAACTGTCCACATACAGTAGTGGACAAAATAAATCATACACCTTCAAAGAAATTGAAAATGTTTGTGTAACTATTTTTTTAACAAGCAAATAGATTATTGGATACAAGTAAATCAAAGCATTTGAAAGTATTTAAATAAAGGAAATGTGATATAATTAAAATTGTGCTCAATTCTTTTGTAAAAAATTTATTTTTCAATATTGATACATTTTACCCTGGACAAAATAAATCATACAGATTTAGAAATAATAAGTAACAAACAAATAAAATTAATTTTAATGGTGCTTAGTACTTGGTGTGCCCGCCTTTTGCTTTTAATACTGCTTCCAGTCGACGAGGCACACTTTCGACTAATTTCTTCAAATACTCAGGATCAATTTTATTCCAGGCCTTCTGGAGTGCTGTATAATACGATATCTTGTCAGTTACGTTCGTTTTATTCACGTTTCCATCTAAATAAGCCCACAGATTTTCAATTGGATTCAAATCTGGTGATTGTGGCGGCCATTCGAGCAGTTTTATTTTATTAGATTTGAAAAAGGCAGTGGTTTTTTTTGCCTTATGCTTCGGATCGTTATCTTGTTGGAAAATAAAGTTATTTTCTAAATCTAATTTCAAAAGAGATTCTTCTAAATTCTCTGACAGTATGTCAATGTATCCTTCTGCCGTCATAATGCCTTTAATTCGAGCCAAATTACCGACACCAGACCAGGCAAAGCACCCCCATATCATGATATTACCACCTCCATATTTTATAGTCTTTTGAATATTTACTTCTTTGAGAGCTTCACCAGTTTTTCGCCATACCCTAGACCGTCGTTTTTGTCCGAATAATTCAAATTTGCTCTCATCCGACCATAATACTTTTTTCCAAAAATCTAGAGGCATATTCACGTACTTTTTAGCAAATTCCAATCTCTTTTTCTTATTTCTTTTATTGATGAAAGGACGCTTTGATGCGAACACGCTTTTCAATCCAGATTCCTTAAGTCTGCGACGCACAGTGCGACTGCTGACATTCAGATTCATCGATTCCACAATATTTCGCGATGATAGCCTCGGATTTTGTTTTATCATTCGAACAATTCTGGTGTCATCACGAGAAGTTGTAATCCGCTTTCGACCTTTTCCGGAATAGTTTGTCACAATCCCATGTGTTTTGTACTTTTTCCAAATGTGTTGCACTGCTCCAACAGAGATTGCATATTTATCAGCGATTATTCTAAAGGAATCACCATTCTGTCGGTCACGAATTACCAAATTTTGGATATCAAGAGAAATTTGCTTCCCTGACATTGTTCTTGCTCGTCACAATTATTACTGATCCACCAA